AAAAAAGAGGAATAAGTGTCCTGGCCAGTTTGGCTCAGCGGTTGAGCATCGGCCTGCAGACCAGAGAGTCTCGGGTTCAGTTCCCGCTAGGGGCACATACCAAAAAAAAAAGAGGAATAAGTATTAAAAGCAGACATAGACAAGAAGGAAAAAAATCAAGAAAATCTTATAATCAACAGAATACAAAATAAAATCGTGAAACCGAGTTTAAATAGATTAGTAATCACAAGAAATGTAAATGAGATAAAATCAGATATTAAAAGGCTTAGATTTTATTGAAAACACAAAATAAAACACTATATACTGCTTATAAGAGAAAATTCAAATGAATCTATGAAAAGGAGGGAGATTGAGGGGTGATAGAAGATATATCATGTAAATACAATCAAAATAAATAATTGAGGCAAAATGTTTTAATTGTGTCAAAAAGGGCAATTGTGTACATCTAAAATGAAGCATTCACTAAGAAGATATGAGTCATAACCTTCTATGCTCTAACAATTTAGTCTCATCGTATATCAAATGGCACCTATAAATAGAAAGTGTGAAAATCCATAATAATGCTTTTTTTGAAATTGAAAATCTATAATAATGGTGGAAGATTTTAACATCCCTGTCTCATAATGTGAAAGATTAAACAAACAAAAAATCAGGCTTCATATGATTTGTACCAATAATAAGCTATAGAAATCTTTATGTTAGTAATAAAGCTAGATGCCCCCAAAGAGAACATACATTCTTTCTAACCCCACAGAGGACATTTAAAAAGTGATCATGTACAAGGCAGCCAATAAGTCCTATTAAATCTCCAAAATTGATATAATACAGATAATTTTACTGACAAGTATGTGATCTAATATTCAACCAGCAATTCAAAGAGAGCCCTCAATTTTCTTGTATATAATTCATATATTGGAAATGAAAAGGAATTCTAAATAAGTCCAAATTTACATAAAAAATCAAGAGTATACGAAAGGAAGAAAAATGAGATAGAAAGTGACTGAGAGATGGACTATCAGACTTTTGCAAACAGAAAAATTAAAAGCATGTTTATATACAGATGAAAATAGTCCTAGGGAAAGGTAAGGACAAGGAATAACTGAAAATATAATGAAGAGGGTGAAGGAACAATGGGATTTAGAGTGCAACTTGAAATACCCAAGTGCCTTGGGAGCTGATAACACGTCTGTGATGACTGCAGGGTCCCACAGAAGATGCTTGGAGATGTCTGTGCATTTAGAATGTAGTAAGAAGGTATAAAATTTCTTCTCTGATGGCTTCTGTTTTCTCATTAAAGAATAAGTCGAGGATGTGAGAGGAGAGTTTGTGGGTGAAAGGGAAGTTAGAATGCGAGGATATTTAAGGAGAAGATATAAAAGCAATCTAAGAGAATAGAAAAGTAAACACACTAGAGAAATACAGTTTAAATGTTTAGCAATAGTGACTGGCCATTTGTACTTCAGAGTCATACATTTAAACTTAATTAAATTTAAAAAAAAAAACAGTTTGACTGCATAATTTCTGCTAGCATTTTTTTATTTTTTATTTATTTTTATTTTTGTTACAGATGTTTCTTGTTTTTTACCCCATTGGCACCCTCCTCCCCATCCCCCGTTTTGTTGTCCACGTCTATTGGTTATGCATACATGCATATAAGTTCCGTGGTTTATCTCTTCCCACCCTCCAGTACCCCCTCTTCTGAGGGTTGTCAGTCTGTACTCTACTTCCATGTTTCTGGGTCTACCCTATTCCTCAGACTGTTATGTTCATTATATTCCGTATATAAGTGAGATCATGTGGTATTTATCTTTTTCTGCTTGGCTTGTTTCACTTAGGATAATACTTTCTAGGTCCCTCCATGTCGTCTCAAAGGATAAGAGATCTTTCTTTCTTATAGCTGCATAGTACTCCATTGTGTATATGTACCACAGCTTTTTGATCCATTCATCTACTGATGGACATTTGGGCTGTTTCCATATCTTAGCTATTGTAAATAGTGCTGCTATGAACATGGGGTACATATATTCTTCCTGATTGGTGTTTCAGGCTTCTTAGGGTATATTCCTAGACCACTAGCATTTTTTAATCTCTTCTGGCACAGGCCACAGATTTGTCATCCATTTTGCAGTCAGAATATCCATATTTTATATAACGAGTTGCAATAAAGATACAAACATCTACATTTAAAAAAACCAACAGAACAATATTTGAATTAATACAACATGTGAACTAAAAGCGGTGAGAATAGGACTTGAAAGTCTGAAGTCTCCTGTTAGAATCGTAGAACTTCTAGAATTAACCTCAGTCTTACACAGCCTTCCAATAAATGTGTGAAATAGAGGTAAACACTCTCAAGAAAAGATGAAATAGTATTCTAACAGAGTTGATTGACGATTTGCACCTGACTTCACCAGGCAGGCACAGCATAGCGATTCTGGCTATGTGACTCTTAGAAAAACTGTGAATGTCCCAAGAGAGAAAAGGACACCCCGCCACCACCACACTATCCCTCTACTATCCCTCTAGGAGACGACCAACAAGAGCTACTAGAAGGTCTGGTGGGATTTCCACCTGGTTAGACGATCAGTCAGTTAACTTCCCGGAAAACTAAAGCCCTGGAGAAGACACTCTCTCTGAGAGGTGTGCCCTGCTCACCTGCGTGCTATGTATTTTTACCTAGTTTTATTTTTCTTTTGACTTATGTTGAATTATCTGTATCTGTTAATATTTTTACAGAATTTACTGTCTAATTTCTGTTGCATTTTGTTTTACAAAATGGACTTAGTAAAAAGCTTTCCTAGTTCCTTAACATGTTTCATTAACAGATTACCTTAAAATAAAAGTTTTGAAATAAATATCTACTTCCATTAGAAATAAAGACACCAGAGCCCTAATACTATATAACATCAACAGTAAATTAAACTTACATAGTTTTTCAGGACCATACATAAATATTGTATATTTGTATCTGTGATTATTGGTTGCCAGCTATATAACATCGACTTTACAGGTGTGATTTCTGCTTACAAATCCAACATTGTAGAATTTTCCTATAGTTGTGCTTACATAAATAGCCGAGTGCATTTTTAACTAATGTAACATAAATGCATAGTGCAAAGGCATTAAACAATTAGCCAGTCTAATACTAAGTAGTTCAAATTGCTGCCTGCTATGTATGTACCTTAAAATGCATCTATTATCACAACTTTGTCTGATAGTTTGTTTGAATATGAAATGTGTCACAATGACATGCCCTGGAGAAATCCCGAAGTCTTTTTACTTCAGTCACTGCTGTCTCCCGCTCTCTGGACAATTCCTCAGCAGGTATGTGATATAAATCAGTTTTCTGATCAGTTGACATAGTGAGTGGAAATTCCACCTAGGAGTGTCAGCTATCATAACAAAATATTAGTTCCTTAATAGTTTTTAAATATTTACAGCAAAGAAGAGATAACTTGATGGAAAAATTCAGCGAGGCCCTGGTATGTTGATGTAAAACTGTGTTGTCATTGTCATTTTGGTATGAACAAAGAATGTAAACGGAGACAGGTTAGTCACTTTGTTGCTGGACACTGGACCTCATATTAATCATTTTGCCTTTGAAATAGGTATAATTCATGCATGTCTCCCTTAATTGCTGATTCAGTTAAGTCTGATTTGGTTATTTCCATTTTTATTAAATTTTACTATTTAGGATGTTAAATGGTATGTCTTTTTCAGCTATGATTCAGTTTACCAAACTAAAATGCTTAACTTACAAAATATTGGTTTACTTTATTTTAGTTTCCATGTAATTTTCCTAGGGTACATAAAGGTGTAAGCCACTTAATAGATTTCTGGCATAAATATTGAAATTAAATGGGTCCATTGTTCTTAAGCGGCTTTATAATCTTCTAGAAATAAAATGTTGCTTGGTATCTAGACCTAATCCATAATATATTGGCTCAATGGAGTCAGTCAGACGGAAATTCTTACTAAGATGCCTTTGCTAGAATATAACTGTGGTGAGCTATCATTAACATTCCAGGGGGGACAGTAGTACTAGCATAATCTAGATGGACAAACAACCTTCCTTTGGTAGAAACGATTTTAGTTTGAGTTTTCCCCTCTTTCTAAAAGAATAAGACTAGCATGATAGTAACAGAATTTTGACTACACTGTCATTTTGAAATTAGATGTAGGGAATCTATCAGATTTCTTTTTTAGGTAATTGGAAGATAGATATGGAATTAAGATTCACAGGCTATTGGGAATGTGGAGACAAATTAAAATGTTAGGGATAATTAAATCATAGAGTTTGAAAGGACTTGAGAGGTCATCTATCTTGTCAAATCTCTTTCATCTGAGAAAAAGCAAACTTAAATCACCCTTCCATACATACTATCTGAACCCTTTTAAAGATAACTCCAATTAGCTCAGCAACTGCAAAGCAATGATTTAACGATTTTCATTGTGGGAGAAATCATCCTGATATCTAAATATCTCAACCTGCAGGAAAACACTTCTAGTAATGCCATCAGTTTCTATGAAGAAAGAAATATTTAAAACCGTTCCATGCGGAATTGGAAAGCCTTCCATTCAAGGTCGCCGAGTTCTAACCAGAAGAAAGTCCCTATTTCTTTAACAGTGTTTATTCTTGGGTTTCCTTTCAAGCATTGTGGTTATTTTTATGATTCTGCATTAATATTTACAAGTCTCTATCACGCCTGAAGCCCAAATTAGACGAGAAGCTTTCAAAAATGTGCTTCATTGTTAAGTACAATAGGTGAATTCAACATTGTGTCTACCACTGTATATTGTATATGTTTGTATTTCAACCTTCTGCAGCCCTACACTATCTACATGTTTTCTCCATTGTCATAATTAATCCCCAGATGTGTTCTCCCGCTCACCCTGCTAATTTACATTTCCGCCTGGGATTTTCTTGTTTTATTAGAATAAATTTGTATATATATGAAGAGTTAAAAAAAAAAAAAAAGTATTGGGAGAACTAAACTCACCCGGGGCGTGAAGGTGGCATCATTGACAGAATGCATGTGACCATAAAGTGACTGCTCACATTTACCCTAGGAAGACAAAGCAGAAGTAAAATCAAATAAGTTCCATTCAATGTATGTAGACAAACTGAAGGACAATTCATATTACTGGTGTTCAAGCAACGTTTTAGTCCATTAATAAAAATGACAGTCTCATGATTTTTAAAAAAGTGTTAGCTTTTGCTATCAGCTACCATTCAGAATCAGACCAGGCAGTGCTAATGAGGGTTCCAGCCGGGCTGGTATGTGCACTGCGGTTCTTACGTCCTTGCTTTTGCACCATCGAGCTGGGTGAACTCCCACCAAATGACTCCATTTTGCAATTGGTACAGTTTTCAAGCCATTGGGCCGAGTAGGAACGCCCATGATTTCTACCACTGCCGGAGGTGTGGGGTTCTTTCTTCTTTTCTGATCTTAGCTATAAGATCGTTTTGTTTTGTTTTTTTAATTTCTGAATTTTCAAAATTTGGCATTAAAAATCATTACCAGTGTAAAAATGTTATAAAATATGTACAGTAGTATTTTAATACAAAATAAGCATTTGCTTTGTGAAAATCATACTTCCCATCTACCCATTCAGATCATCGTTTCTAAACAAAGCTAAAATTAACCACAAAAATTTCCAAGCTTCAGCTTAAGGGATTCCAGGAAAAATGGCCCATAACACATTACAGAGGGGATTTCACTGGGGGAGGAAGAGTTTCATTTTTACATGCATGTTCAAAGGGCATTCTTAACTATCTGAGGGAAATAATCCGAATTCTGTAGAAGAATCAGAGAAAGATATACTACCTGGAATATTATTGGTAGATTATTATTATAGTCTGAAATTCAGATTCAGTTCAACAATATATTTATTCAACAAGTTATGTTGAGCAAGTCACACATCAGGCACAGTTCTGGGCTACGTCAATTTATCAAACAAAGAACCTTGTCCCCACTGACCTTACATTCTAGAGGGAAAGGGAGGGACTAGGCATTTAAAAAATGTATACAGTATGTTAGAAGATAATAAGTATTGTAAAAATAAGAAAAGTTGGGCAGGTTAAGGGGTACCATTGGTTTTGGGATTGGGGGTCTAAGGGCAAATTAAATGATCAAGTAGAGTCATTTAGTTTGACTACACTCAGAAAGTAAGATTTGAACAAAGACGGAGGTCAGTAAGGGAGTTAACCAAGCAGGCACATGGAGAAAAAACATTCCAGAAAGAAGGAAAAGCGAGAGAAAACATCGCCAGTTGCCTGGTGTGTTTCTAGAATAGCAAGGAGCCTGTGGGCTGGAGAGAAGGCAGTCAGGAGAAGCGTAGGTTTACTCAGAAGGCTGCATCTCCTCTCTCTGACTACCTTGTATTTACTTAGTCCTGGAAGACAGATTACAGAAAAGACTACAAAAAAGGAGATATTAAAGATAGAGGGTCACCATCATGCCCCTCATTGTTACAGGACATTCATTGAATATTTTGGAATTATGCAAAGTGGCAAAGGCTTTACTACTGGGCTCGAATCAGCCGTCACTGTTGCATTTGAATAATTACATTTCAAATGTTTATTTACGGAATTGACGTTATTAATCCCTTTTCATAGATTGCAAATGTACCACGTGGATTTAAATTTCGTAAAAATACGTTGAAACACTTGGGCTCTCTCAGTCCCCTGCCCAAGCCATCCTCCTCAGTGTCTTCGTACCGTTCTAACATCAGTTATGCTGGGGACGTCAAATCACCCAAATTCCTGAAGTGGGAATGAATTATTTACAAAGCCAAAAAGGTGAAGTATAGAACATTAGAATTAGCTTTCATATATTATCATCTTAAGGACTTTTATGGTTAATTTGATTCGAGGACTAGTATCATATAATCATATAACATTATACTTGTAGAGTGTTAACATTTAAGAAAACTATTTAAATTAGCTAATTGGCCTGAAAATATTTTTTTGCATTAATAAAAGTTTTACATTTGGTCCTCTTCTAAATTGCGAGCCTTTAAACTCTGATTAATTAGTAAGGAAAATGGAGTTTTCCGACTCAAATCCTGAATGCCAAGTTTTAATTCAAAGTAGAATCTCTAAGGCACTCTTGAAAAGCCCTGGAAATATGGGGAAATAATGGAAATGCTGACGGACCACATTTGTGCTCCTGTAACAAAACCTGACTGGAAGATAAATGTTTCATGAATTAAGAAAACTTAAAAAAGCTCTTTCTATCCAGCTTTGTTCCCAAGATAAAAGCGAACCTGCTCTTTCCGTGGTACGAGGAATATGTGGGTTACTAATATGCTAGTCTGCAAACAGCCCTAATCAAAAGCAATACCCAAACCGGGACGCTAACACTCGGAATAACTTCTTTGATGAAATCTTGTCAGAATTGTTTTATTTCAGAGAACTGGGGACAAAAATGAAAAAGAGGGAAGAGTCATATAAAAAGAGATCATGTGGCCTAAGGTGTCACTGCTCCAACATTTGAATCTCTCGGAGAAGCTGCGAGCACCGATTTAGAGTGGTTTCTATCCCTGGCCCTGGGGCGAGAAACTTCGGGGACTTAATTGTTGGAACCGCCTCCTAATAGCCTGTAACCTTAAACAAATCTCTTCACTCCACTGCACTTCCATTGCCTCTTTTAATTCTCAAAATAAACCCAAACGTTAAATACCGCTCCCCATGTCCAGTGGGGGTACTATTTAACCTAAGGATTTGTTTGGAAACTTAAATGAGCTAATGCACATGAAGTGTGGTAGAGTGCTTAGACAAAGTAAGAGCCTGACCAATATGGGCTCCCCTCTGGAGACATAAACCACTGAAAATGCTGGAGGCTTCCAGATCAGCATCTCTGCCCTCAGCTGTCTACCTGTCGCTTTAAAGGACAGAGTCTCAGAGGCATCCGTGCTGTTGCTTCTCTTGGTCCCTCAGTCCTTCCCCTTGTGGCACTGCTCTGCTTGGTGCCCTGCTGTCTACTAACCCCTCACCCCGGGCTCTCGGGCCTTGGTCCTCTGGTGGGACTCAGCCAGAGGATAGCACCAGGCGGATGGAGCAGAGCAGGAAGGTGGAGAGGACAGACAAATCACGACTTCTCAGCTGTGATTCTGCCGGGACCCCGTCCTCGACCTAATTCCACCACTCCTGTTGTGTGGTCCTCTGCCACCGCCGCAGCCCCTGTGTGTCCAGGGACGCTCTCCTTGTGCCCCTGCAGCCCGAGGGGCCGCACCCGCTTCGCATCGCTGCCAGCCCTCGAGGGCTGTGGTAGGTCCCTTAACCCTGTTCACGTTCTATAAACACTCAGCTGGGGTTGTCCCCGTGTGTCCTCTGCTTCCTGCTGGTGGCTTGTCTGTCATAGCACGTCAGACATAACATGCTAAAGCAGACTATTTAACTCACTACTTCCCAAGTGCCTATCTTGACCCTTGCTAAACCATTCCTTCTGAGTAAAGGGCATCGTAGTTGCTCAAACAGAAAAGCTAGGCAATCAAACACCTGAGACTTGGGGTACCTCGCTTTCCTCCCCACCCCGCTCCTCACGCAGTATATCAGCTCTCTGTGACACAGGCGGCCCGTCACTCTCCGGCACGGCCTCTCTGGTGCAGGACACGGTCACGTGGGGCCTGATGACAGCAGGGACGTCCTCACGGATCCACCTGCTCTCCCTCTCACCACACCCCCGTCACTTCTCTCTCAGCCCCCGGCCTGCGCAGCGAGACCTCCACCCGCTCACGCCAGGCTCCAGTTCACACCCATCCAAACGGTCACCGCTGCGCTCCGGACAGATTCTACACTTTCCTTAGGTGCAAAGGCTCTGCATGGTTTGTCTCCTGTCCGGCTGTCTGACCTCTCTCTGCCATCCCCCCCTCTCACGTGTCCCACGAACATGTTCATGTGCCACATGGTCAGGGCTTTCTGCGAGAGTGCTACCTGGGCGAGGGGCGATTCACAGCTGCCCTGGGAGCTGCGGGGAGATTTGGGGGCCTCTCTCCCTGAGGCATTTGTGGTTTTTGTTTACAATCCAGAAGTTACAAGCCTAGAAGTCTTCCCCTCCTTCTCCCGGAGAGAATTTATTTATATTTCAAAACAAATGATTCCTCTCTCTCTCTCTCCCTCTCTCCTTCTATGTCTCCGTTTCTCTCTTTCTCCTGGAGAAACAGATGGGTTTTGACTTTCAACATTTGGAGGTCTCTTCTCATGGTACATAACTCCACGGTACCCCCAGGGGGCACCTGGCTCTCACGGCCTCTTCCCAGGAGAACTCGGGCGCTGGCAAAGCAACGCACACCACTCAGAGAGTAAATAGATGGTCTGACCTCTCACCCAGCAACCCCTGTTTCTTGTCAGGATAAACAAATAGGGAAATATAAACATAATATCACTGTCATATCGGGCTCTCTGTTCTTCTAACAGACTTAGCAAGGCCCTGCCATCCTTCCGTTTTCTCTCCTTCGCGTGTTTTTGTGTAGCTACGGGCATGTCCTTGTCCTTCTCGTTCTGCTTTCGACTCAAAGCCATCCTTTTCACTGATGTCTGAGATCTGATAGCCACTCTTTTTCTATTATTATTCACCTTCACCCGAGGGTATTTTTAGATAGCATAGCGGGGCGTTGGGGCATTGATATGTGAGCGACACATCCACTGGCTGCCTTCTGCGCATGCCCCTACCAGGGTCGGGGATCGAACCTACAACCCAGGTACATTCTCTGGACTGGGAATCAAACCCACAACCTTTCAGCCCTTGGGCCAAGGCTCTAACCGCTGAGCCAAACAGTCCAGGGCTATATCCACTCTTTATAGTAGCAAACTCTTCTATGAAAACACTTTCCTTTTACTCTTGGGCACTCAGCCAGACTTGAGGCCAGAAGTGCCAGGTGACTGAGCTCCGCCCCGGGAAATATGGGCAATTATGAAATAAGTCCCATGTGGGCCTTAAATAAGTCCCTTAAAATATCCCACCCAGGCCTCTAAGCTCGTTCCTTGTGCCTAGTTTCAGGCTGTAGGCAGAGGGGCCCTGAAATGAGCCTGAGTTTCCGAACCACCACAAGGAGAAAAGCC